AATTGGACTAATGAATACCACCTTTAAATATCTTTTTGATCATTGATGTCCAATACATATTATAAAGGAAGTGATGTATATTCAGCATTTAGGCAGAAACTAACATCAGGACGTTTCTGCAATCTCTCTACCAGGCGATCATTATGAATACAAATAAACTCCTCTAATACAAAGGCATACTTGATGGGATGCATCCCACGACACATGGGGTCGAATCGTCCAAACCAAGCGTTAACAATCTCGGCAGCAGAGGAGTTGAACTTCCATTTCCAGGCGCCATTGGAGGAGGTAATGACCTTGAGTTCAGGAAAAAGGTTCGGATCATTGTTCATGCGGCAAGCGGTGTGAGAAACTTTATGCGACTTTATGTGGAATGCGTCAACTGGCAAAAGAGTACGTGCAAACCTCTTGGAGTCTTCGGGGTTTGTTTGTATGTGAGAATACAAACCACACGCATTGTCATAGAAAATGACTTGAGGCATTTGATCGGGGAAAACTTCGTAAATGAATTCCTGTGGTATACAAAAGATGGGAAGGGGGTCTTGTTAGTAAAAAAAGTCTGGATTGATTGTGTAAAAATAAATAAAAAGGTACCTTGACTTTAGTGACTGATTCTGATTTATAAAAGGTCTTCCTGGCCACTACTACTCCACATGGGGACACTGCTAACTGCTCGTTGTGAGATCGAAGGCGGGTGAAAAGTGGCTTCTTGGATTTTTTCGATTTGCCACCATCTCGAGCAGACTCGTGTTCACGCTCGTCAACATCGCCATACAACAAATCGTCTTCTGTCAGTGTTACTTCGCCGGTTTCAGGTGCAAGAATGGAGCTTGGATCAAGTTTGATGTGAGTATTAGGACGCTTCATTCGTTTGGGCAAACCAAAAAGTGACTTGTTGCGAGATTTAAATTCCTTGAAGGCTTCAACGTGTTCTTGATTGTCACACGTTTTCATGCCATCTTGCACAGGTCGCAAGCAGGGCTGGGCGTAACACATTTTGTGGAGGGAATCGTGCAAGGGGCAGAATCGATCATTGACGTGATCAAGAGGGACATCGCAGTAGTTGGGACCGTTAGGATCGAGATGTTTGAGTTGAGCTTCTGACGCACTGCAACACCAGTGGCCAATAGTGACACCATCAATGACTACTGCACGCATGACTAAGTTGTTGACCAAAAACAAAAATGAGTATATACAAACCAAAAACAAAAACAAAGGAGATTTTACAAATGAAAACTTACTGGTAGCTTCATCCGTGTCCGGGATGGCTTCAATGGCGGTACAAACAGAGCAAACATGAGAGGAATAGGGTGAGCCTTCCTGTTCAAGCCACATCAGATGTTGCTTCATTGCAGAGAAAAACCGGCGGTCGTCCACCCCATTGGCATCACTCCTCAAGCGGACTCCTCGCGCATGAAAACTTTTCATCAATCGATAAATATCGAGGCCTTGCGACAAAACGTGGTGGCTAAGGTGACGAGTGTATCTGGTCTGCCGGAAATCGTTGGGGTACGTGGTATCTACAGCGGCATGTGCTTGATTGTAAATCACCACAAGGTTGTAGATACTAACTCTGGAAAGACGAAAGTCCAAACCAATTAGTTCATATGTATGAATTCATCAAATTTGATCAATGTTGAATCAATGATTACGTACACGGCAATAGCTTGCAGGTGGTTGAGATGGTCAGCAAGTCTATGAGTCATAAAATAGTGTCGAGTGACTTGAAAAAAGTCTTTCGGGTGCCCTTCTTCTAAGGTATAATATTCACGGACATCACCTCTACGGAGGAAACATGGTGTGTACGTTATCTTACAATCTACATGTATGAACCAGTGGTCGTCAGAACTAATGTTTGGCTTGATAGAGGTATGCATACTTACTACGACAGTAACCAGAGAAAGATTGGACTGTTTTGATTCCATTAATGTCGAACAAATAGCCACAGATTTGGTGACGCGTCTGGAGAGTTACAGGATTTCCATGGACGTCGGTAGTACAGGTAAGGCAGTGCTTCGTAGGAGGATTGAACGTGTGCTCAGGGATGATGAGAGCGTCTTTGGGCCGATGCAAGAAAGGGATACCATGTTTCTTGAAAAGATTCGTGTTGTATGCGCAGGACCGGAGGTGATCGAATGTGAGGTTCCAAAGTCGAGCCCACGTGGCCATCGGTTGAGCGGGATCAAGACATTGGGTAAGAAACTCGATTGGAGCTTCGTGGGGTGACTCGCCGTACACCCCGTCTGTTCTGTTGATGAACTCGGCAGCCAGAGCTGTGAAGTTGGTAAGCTGACTCACAGTCAGAGTACTGAGCGTGTCGGGGTAAGATTTGGATAGCTTGTCGGTGAGCTCAATGAGAAGCATGATGTAGTACGAATATTTAGGGAGAAGGGTGTTTTCAATACGAATTGGATTGATCTATGTGATGCTCGTGGCTCTCTGTGATGCTCGTGGCTCTCTGTGATGCTCGTGGCAAGTATTACTCGGCGATGGGGCAAGAGAGGGCAACAAAGGGCAAGACAGACATATCCATGTCTGATTATGCGGATGTAGATTGCTATGCAAGAAAATCTCATGGAGACTTAATGGATATCTCGATATCCACTGGGGAGAAGGTGTTCGTATTCGGACAAGCAGACGCGAAGACGCGTTGTCATATGCGTTGTCAAGATGATTGGTAATGACGAGTTGGGAAGTCGGCACAATCCATACTGGGGTGTGTGACACCTCAGTATGGATTGTATTTCGCAAGTCTGAGACACTTGCTCTGCTCGACTCTGCTCGAAAACTCTGCTCGACAATTTCATCGCCCTGCCGATGTTCTGCAAACTGACGCCATGAGATGAATCAAATTCCAATGTAAATATGTACACTTTATCCACCTCGGCTACACGAATGACTTCATGACTTTATCATACTCAAGAGTCAAACGTGATCTTCACACACATGAACTGATCTCATCGCGGCGAATCCAGACGTCGGGTGGACTTGATTGAGTTCGCAACTTTGCTTTTTAATGGTCGATGTTGTAAAACGACAATTTCCAATTTCAAGTTTCCCATAGCCTTCCTGGACTTCATATAACGAACGAATTGCAAACAAACTTCCCACTTCTTATCAGTACCAGCATCACTAATTCCTTTTCATTCATACGTATTCATCAGACGAACATTATGCTCTCTCTTTTCACCCTTTCGCTCATCCCAGCTTTAGCTGCCGGTGGATTAGTCGCTCGTGACAATAACACCGGTAGTGCCGTAGGAAATGCCGCAGCCCTTGCAAATGCCGCTGTAAGCGCCATTTCTATCGTTCTACGCGTATTCGGCCATCGTTTTTGTGGGTGGTGTCTCATAAATATGAACGGTTCTTTCTTTGACAGGCCAACTTGCCAAAATGTGCCGTCTCTTGCACATTGAAAACTGCTCCCCTGACCAAATGCACCAGTCAGTCTTAGCGTTTATATCTCAAACTCCAACTTTGCGAATTGTTCACTAATCTGTTGACCATGTGATCGCAGACCCAGCCGACCTATCGTGCTCGTGCACTGATCAAGGCTTCCAATCCCAAATCCTTGCCTGCTGTAAGCCAACTTTATTGACCGGCTCGTCGCACTTCAACCTATTCTGATCTTTCCTTGCTCTCAAACCTTGGCACACTTTCACATCAGACCAACAGGTATTGCCCATCTCTTTACCCCATGTGATGACTAGAACGCTGACCACTGGGTTACCTGCAGAGCTGTAACGCTACGGAACTCAACAATACGCTCACTATCGGGGCTGCTACTTGTGTAGCTGCTGGTCACCCAACTGTAAGCATTTTTCTGTTGGCTATCTCCAGCACACCGTACTCATCATCGTACGCTTCAGGCTGCCCCCGGTGGCGCCAATACGACCGCAGCTGCGAACCACACAGCGACGTCCACCCCCGTCACGCCTGCTACCACTCCTGCCGCCAACAGCTCTCGTGAGTAAACCTGTTCAGCTAGATTTTTTGACCGCACTGACATCTTCTGTGGCTACAGCAACTTCTGACGCAAACACCCAAGTGCCTACCTTATGTGTTGCTCTTCTCACCACCGCGCTCTACGCGCTTGTCTCCACCACCCTTGCTTAATCAATCTCCTGGAAATCTACACAGTCTATGACAGGCCTTTACACCGCTCAGTATATGCTTGTTTATGTTTCCTTGTAGAGTGGATTGCTATCTTCATCGGATATGTGTTAATGATTAATGCTTGTAATGGATTTCTTGAATCACCTTTGACGTCTTTTCTCATCACAATCCACCTTTGAGTACGTAAGATTTTCTATCAGGGAACAAAGCGATTTGTCTTCCATTTCTCCCATACCAAGTTACCAATCATGATTATTAGGTGTGAGGACATGTACAAGTCATTAGCCATCCGTCCAAATGATGGAGCACAGAAATAACAGGGATCTCAAGAACTAAAGTACCTTGATATCAAAGTTTGGAACAAATCTGAAAGTTTTCAAATGGAAGGCATGTAGTCATATGGCAGTGGATGCTTATCACTATCAGGTTTCCTTTTCCTCAACTTTTTTATGGTGTAACGCAAAACAATGGTGGTCTTGTTCTTTCCTTTTGTAGAACCAACAAACAGTTGAAGAATATTTGGTGAACCACCATTGTAGCAAAAAGTAAATTCAACTTCTCTCTTCTGTAAGAGACTTCATTCCCTTTGTGAGAAGGGACGGATAAAACAAGTCAAGCTGATCAGAAATCCTAGTCTCAATCAACACTACTTGTGTATGTCTCAGAATATCCTATTGTATCTGTCAATATGGAGCTTGTTATAAGAAATTTGCCTCCAAAAATAGGTGGCTTTATAAAATTTTTCAAGTTTGTTCTTGATGAACTTGAAGCCAGAAGATACCTGGTATATTTGGTCTTGCACAGGGAGAATCACCCAGGTCATTTCTCGAAGCCATTGTCTGTACACTGCGGTCTAAATGTTTTGAATAGAAAAAGCCTGCACCGCCTTCGTGGCTCAGCTGGTTAGAGCGCCGGTCTCATACATGACTCATGTGTCCATATGACCGCATACAAGCGGGCCATCCGGAGATCGCCAGTTCGATCCTGGCCGAGGGCATCATTTTTGCCGGTCTTTTCGTTGGTAAACCGATGAAGAATTTCACGATCGACCTGGAAATGATGATATGAATTTGTTTGCATGATGATCGACTGGTGTTCAAGTGATGTTCACCATCAGCTTGTAGCGTAGCACGAAATTTGGATACGTGACCGCTGTATGTGTGAAAGGTTAAGATAGTGAATGTCACTAGCGAGAAAAAAAAACCCAACTGTTAACTTTTCAACTTGAATTCACCCTTGTTCTTGACACTCGACCGACGAAATTTGGTTCATCAGAAGTTTGAAGAGTCAAACCATCGATTAAGACATCAAACACCATTAATTCTTAATTTCAATTCTCATCATTTCAATCAACTCAAAAGAAAATTCATCAAATTAAATTCTCAACTTGATCCTCTTCAATCTTGATTTCAAATCATGCGACCTATTTTACTTTCAGGTCACGAAAGATCCTTAGTGAGCAATATCTTAAACCTTACTTTACATCATTTACCATCATCCCATTTTTTCACTCATAGTTCATCTTAATCTCGAATGATTTGATTTACGATTAGACTCAAGTGAAATATAATCGAGAAGGTGATCTTTTGTTTTCTTGTTCAAAAGATCATATTATCAATGTTTGGTATACCCATAATGGAGAAAGACTTGGTACATATAATGGTCATAATGGTACAGTTTGGTCTGTAGATGTAGATTGTAAGTAAGATTGATTTTGAGCAAATGGAAGTGTTCGTATCGATCGAAAGATGGTCTTACATGAAGGATTTATTGATATATATGAATTGACCTGGAATGGTTCCTTTCTTTTGATGCAAATAGCTAAATCAGAATATCTCGTATCTGGATCAGCTGATAATTCAATGAGACTTTGGAGAGTAGCAACAGGAGAATGTTTAAAGGCTTGGTAAGTCAAGAAAGACCAACCTACTGATTCATCATCTGATCTGTTCATCTACTGAGATCGTTGTGAATCAACCCTTGGTACGATTCATAGGGAATTTCCAACAGCTGTGAAGAGGGTCTCTTGGAGTGAAGATGATTCAAAAGTCACACTAGTCACTGAGCAGCGAATGGGTCACCAGGGTGCTGTACGAGTGTTTGAAATTGCACGTGATGGTAGCCCACGTGAGTAACTCATTTAGCTCATCCACACCACCTTTCGGAGTGTTCTACCATGTTTAAATTTCTTTCAAACTTTTAGAGTCCGATGAGCCTAGCTTGATGTTTAGTCCGGTGGGATCAAAAGCTATGGTCGTCGCTTTCTCATTTCTAGATAAATACCTTATCACCGGACATGAGAATGGGAAAGTGGCTCTATGGGATGCCGAAACTGGTGAAGAAATCAAGTCGAGAGAGAAGAATCATATGGGTTTGATCACTGATTTACAACTCAGTGCTGATCGTACATATTTTGTCACAAGTTCTAAAGACAAAAGTGCACGGGTAAGTGAGATAGATGATTCATTTATGTATGGTAAGCATTCAGATTGGGTAAAAGCTCATGAGACTTGAATTTACTTCAATCCTTTAATCCCATCATATAGCTTTACAACACTCGAACCCTTGATCTGATCAAAACTTATCAAGATCCACAAACCCCACTCAACAGTGTAGCGTTGATCCCAGGTAAACCTTATCTATTAGTAGGTGGTGGTCAAGAAGCCATGGCAGTGACCACTACATCAGCCAGACAAGGTCATTTTGAAATTCGAATGTGGCATCGAGTCTTTGAAGAAGAAGTTTCGAGGATCAAAGGAGGATTCGGTCCATGTAATTCGATTGCTGTTCATCCTGAAGGAAAAGGATATGCGATTGGTGGAGAAGATGGATATGTTAGATTACATCACTTTGATGAGAATACTTTTCGATCAAAACGTTAGTCTTTTGATCATGTCAATGAAGAATCTTTGAATGTGGTTTTAGAAAGCCTCGGATTGAATTTTGACATTGATTCTTTTTTTTGGATATGATCAGCTTACGGACATGAGACTGAACCAGCGCAGATTGATTGAATGATGAAGATTATAGTCTTCTCGATCGGATCTCAATTTTCCTCATCTGTAGTTAGTCTGTCAAGAAAAAGCTACTAAAGCAATCTATGCCTACATTTCACACTCGAAAATTATATATTGTTCAAAGCGTGAAATTAGAAAAATCACCCGATCTGAAAAGCAGACGTTCTATCATCATAAGCTAAGTTCAAATTTACAGTCATCACTTTTTTTACATCCCTCTTTGAAAACGTGATAAGTAAACAAACAAATCAAAGAGAGTTTGGGTTTGATGGTGAATGTGATGATATGATTATAGGTAAGTCATGTGTGTGTGTGTGTATATCTGGGGAATTAAAAGGGCAAAGCATTTTAAAACCTTAGTTTGATTTACTTGGAGGTAAATATCAGATGATAAGGTGGTGACAAACAAGCAAATCGAGTGAGTTGGGTGGGTGATATGTTCATATCGATGGATTCACACTTAATTTAGTGTCTTGTGAGTGTTATGAAGTCTGATTAGGATGAGTGTGTTGAGTGGCAAAGGTTGAGTTGATAAGTTTGATTTACAAGATAAAGAGAGTGTAGTAGCGGAGTTTGAACTGAGATGATGTAAGAATTTAAGTCTTGTGAATGGTTTTAGGTTTTTTCTTCTTTTTTTTCTTTTTTTTCATTTTCTTTTGATTTTGAATTTGAATTTGAATTGAGACTTGTTTGAAGATTACATTCGATTCGATTCGCTTCGATTCGATTGATTGCAGTCAATACAAATTAGCTGTGTGATTTAGCGGTGCATTCGATTAAGAAGATTGATTCTGATTGGAGTTTCTTTGATAATATTATTCTGGTGAAGAGCATTTGTTGAGTAGACATCCAGAGACCCTTACTCAATCATTGTCGATCAGGATATCACATTTTCATTGATCGATTGGATTTGAATTTAGAAATTACTCATCATCATCACATTTGCTTGCTTGCTTCGATTCAATTCAGAACCATCAGTCTTTGATATCATCCAAAGAAGAAGAAGATTTCAACTTTAATGATACCAAGAAGAAGAAGAAAGAAAGGATAAAGAATCAGAATCAGAGTCAGAAAAAGGAGATCGATTGGTGAAATTGAAATTGAAGTTTTTTGAATTTTGAAGAATAAAATAAATTAAATTAAATTAAAATACCAATTTGGAATCCATTTGATTGATCACTTCAGCTTCTTCGTCTTCATCATCAATTGTGATCACAATACCAGGATGACACCACCCATCATCACCACCACAGCCACCACCACCACCACCACACCCTCATCAGCAACAGCATCAATAGCTTATCAACCATCACATTCACCACCACCACCACCACCACCAACAACAACAACCACAACCACAACACCTTCATCTCATCCACATCAATATCATCATCACTCACATTACAATTCATATTCAAATTATAATCATCAATCCACTTTGTATCAACCACCACACTATAACCAACCACATCATCATCATCATCACTCTAACTCTACCACTTCAAATCAATCCACTTTACCTTATAATCCTCAATCTACTTCAACATTTCAAAACACTCATCATCATCCTTATCCAATCCCACCACCACCACCACCACCACCACCACCACCACCACCACCAATACCCATTCAATCTCAATCTCAATCTCAATCTCAATCTAATCTAATTCATTCGTCTCCTCCATTCTCAGCCTATTCTCCTCCTCATCTATCATTCTCACCTTACTCTTCTAACTTTCAATCTCCTACCTTGGATCATTCATCTTATTATTCACAAAATCAACCTTATTCAAATCCATCTTCACCTTATCAATCAACCTATCAACCTATCCCAATCTCTTATCTCAATTTCTCTCATCATCATCATCATCAATCCAATTCTCCTCCTCCTCTGGCTCATTTTGATTCAAATTCAATCAATTTCTCACCTACTCCTTCTCAATTTCCAAACATAGATAGATCTTATCAAATCCCTCCTTCTTCACCTTCACCTCTCAACACGCCTTTCAACTCCCCTAGATCTCGTCCTCCATATGGTCTTAGATCTCATCATCATCATCATCATCATCATCATATAAATCAATCATCTTCTCCTTTTCTTCCTTTTCTACATCAAACATCTTACTCTCCTACCTCGACTCATTCGACTCATGAACCTAAATCACCTACCAGTCCTCCGATCAACTCCTTAGTCAGAGGTTCACTTGCTCAAGCTAAACTTCGAAATCATCATATCAAACTCAATCCGATTGCTTCTCAACTTACCCACTCTCGTCCTCCCAATGCCAATCATCCTCATAAACCTAGGCATTCAAAATCATCTCCAAAACCAGCTTTACCTCGTCCTCCTTCCCATAGTGAACATGCACTCTGGGTTGGAAATGTACCCAATGATGCATCGCATGAAGAACTTTGGAAGTTTTTCTCCGGTCCTCAATCTTCTTCGCTTCATCCAAATCAATCACCATCAGGTGTTGAATCGATTCATTTGATCTCACGTAGCAATTGTGCTTTTGTAAACTATATCTCTCAAGCACATCTTCAACATGCGATTTCGATTTGCAATGGGAAAACTCTTAGACCATTCGATCCAAGATCTAAACCATTGGTTTGTAGAGTTCGTAATCCAGAAGATAATGTAAAGAGTGGTGTAGGTGCTCAAAGAATTGGTGGCATGCATCGTACTTGGATTCGTCAAACTCATTCATCTCCCATTCATCAAGATCAAAAAAATCATCAATCATCACCTCGATCGGCTATCAATGATGAACAATGTAAACGAACTTCATCTACTTCTACTTTTAATTCTAATCAGACCAACTCTACTGGTACAGCTTCAACTACTTCATCCTTCCTTTCTAAACATTTCCCTCGTCGATACTTTATCTTGAAAGTCAGTAGTCCCCCCCCTCTCTCTCTCTTCATCCCTTCTTCTGACTCAACTTTTACTTGATTCGTTTCTCTCTTGGATCTTAGTCAT